CATACTTTGTACGTACAACTGAACATGCACACACAGAAGATAATTGAGCAGCTCTCATTTAGGCTGACTTTTTTTCCCCACATATGTACCTGCTTCTGGATGCTTACAGAAATTTCTATTCAGATAAACATGGAGCTTAAAACTTAACAAAGATAAAAACATTTAGCTATACATATAGGCTAGGTTATCAATGATGCTCTCTCCCCACTGATTAATTTTTGAATGTAACAGCCCTTTTGTCTCTCTGGATCCTATGATGAATGAAGCACTAAACGTTCTAGATAAAAGTAAGAAAAACAGTATTGTACAGAAGATACAAGCTGCTCCACTGAACATTTTGTGTGCAACACATTAGCTTTGAAAATAGGGTTGGAAAGTAACCCAATGTCAGCCACTGACATGTCTACCTTTCCACTTTCCTTCCTGCCTGAAACAGCAAGCCACTGATGGAAATTTCCCTCTGGAGATATCAACTACCCATACCAACACCCCACTGGCTAGCCATTTACAGCATAAACTAAAAGACATAAGACTTCAAGTTTTAATACAACTCTGTGGTATTTTATCCTGGCTCATTCTGAGTGCCCAGCAGCTCTACCAGCTGGGTGCTGGCACCGGGTGGCACAGCAGGGAGAAGCATGGGCACACAGATTGGTGCCAGGGGGACAGCTCATGCTGGAATCATGAATGAAAAGCCCAGTTGCAAATACACAGCTTAGAAAAAGCATCCTTTTTCCTTCATTTCAGTGTCTGAGTATACACAGGCTGAGCTGCTCAAAAGGATGCTGAGAAGAAAAACCAGCAACCCAGCCCTGGCAAATGCTCTGGTTTGTACATGACTGATGGTGAATGTATTAAGTTAGAATAACATCCTCCTTAGTGTCCCAGAGGGTGCTGCACTTTGTGCAATTTTCCAGCCTCAAAAGGAATATTTCTAATGTGAAACATGACCTGTCATCTCTCATAGCCCTGCTTACTTTAGACGTGCTAGCAGGCATGCACACCTTTACTGACCTGAGAAATTCCAGAGGGGAAAATATAGTATCTTAATGGCTTCTCCCTTGCCTGTTGGTGAAGATAAAACTAACTAGGTGGGGTCATATGACAGGGCACTACTAATGGTATCCTGTTTAATGGAAAGGGGCAAACCATCCTATTAATTGCAGACACACATCAGCAACAGCTCCAGCATGTACAATCCAGTCTTTATGCATTACTCATCCTAACTCCCACATTTCCCTGCCAAAGTAAAACGATACCCTATCCAAAAGGCAGAGAAGTAAAAGCAAGAAGTGCTGCATATTTCACAGTTTTGGCTGGGGCTGTTCAGCCTGGAGAAGAGAAGGCTCCGCGGAGACACGATAGCGGCCTTTCAGTATATAAAGGGTGGGCTGTAAGAAAGAAGGAGATGAACTCTTTAGCAGGGTTTGTGATGACAGGACAAGGGGAAGAGGTTTCAAACTAAGATAGAGGAGATTTAGACTGGGTATAAGAAATTGTTTTTTTACATTAGTCTCCCACTGACACTATTGCTCCTGCCCTGTTTTAGGAGGTAGCACAGAAGGTGATGGTTTCTTTAAAGAGAGGTCAGTGGGTCCACACCAGTTACACACTTCAGAGCTAGTAGCTGCTTCTCTTCAGCGCTGACCCTAGAGACATCCCTGTTCCTTCCCTACAGATCACAGATGCCTATCAAATGAAAGAGATTCCACTGAGTAACAATCATCTGCCAAGAAGATCTTAGGTGCTCTTTGGCATTAAGTCATGAAACAAACAGAGAGTGAGGATGATGGTAGGGCCTGGGGAGGGGGTGGCAGTGATGTGATGCACAGCTCTTTCATTCTGCTCACTGCAGCTACCAGAAGGCAAACATGGAAAGGCACACATCCTTCACAACTGCACCATGGAAATGCAATGCAGAGGGGCCAGGCCTCTTACGTGCTCTTTATGCGCAGCTATTTCACAGCATCAAAGCACGAGGGCACATTTGGTGCTGTTTGCCATTTTCATGGTCTCAGGAAAAACCACACAAACACAAATACCCCACAAGAGAATCTTCTTAAATTACAAAGCAAGAGACCATTTCTGGACAGTGTCTGTACCAAACATCTAAACGACTGAGACAAAAGTCACTTAGGGAAATAGAATAACCAAAAATTAGCCTTTAAGTGTTAATGTGATATCATGAGACAAAAAGAAGCAACTGAACAACACACAAAAGTTACGTCCCAATGGATAAGCACAGGAAAGGACAACACACATTTTTAGTTTACCGTGATATATCTAGGCATTACAGCAGGGGCTGGTACGCAGCACTATTTGCAGTGTCAGTACATTCTTGCAGTATTTATTTAGTGCACATAGCATTGATTAATAGAGAGTAGGTTCTCAGCTGCTGCAAATCAGTGTAGGTTTTGTAGAAAGTCAACAGAACCATGCAAATTATAGCACCCAAAGACAGCATCTGACAGAAAGCTTGGAGCTCCTAATGTGTGTGGTGACTGTTTGAAAACATCTTTGGGATAGAAGCAGAAAACACAGGACTGCATTTCACTGTTTGGTTGAAACTCAGGAGGCTTTAAAAGTGGGAAAGGAATAAAAAAAAGCTGAGAAAACAAAGTTTTGGCAATGACATCTGACTCATACAGCAGCAAGCACGAAGGCGCTGTATTCCTTGTCTCACACAAATAGCAAGAGGAATGGTTAAGCTCTGAAACACAGACATGTATACACAGGAAAACATAGAGCCATCCAAGAGTTTAGAACTATGTCAGGATCACAAAAGTGCAAGGCAAATAAATACATGTGAAAGGTTTGTTTGATACCACATCGGGAAGCCTGAAGGAGAGGCTAAAACCTCTCCCAACAGGGAGGATTCCCCTCCCCACCAGCTGCAAGTTTTTATGTTCCCAGACCAGCGGAGGTGTGGGGCCAATCCTGTCAGCACACTCAGCAGTCACAAGCAAATCTTGTTCCTCTCAGCCCAGAAATTTAGATTTTGCACCTCAGAGCACCACTTGCATGCAGTCCCTCCTGCCTTTTATACTGGTAACCATGCTAGAAAAAGCCAGTGTTGCAAACAGAACATAGTAGCCATAGCAACAAGCAATTTGGCACCTAAACTTTTCAACAGACTAAACAGAATTTTCTCTCTGTTTTTATAATTTCATGGTCAGTAACTCACCATGAACACTTTAGTTGTCTAGCTGGTCATTAATGTCTCAAAACCAATCTCCTGCTAATGCTTCAACCATGAAAACCTTCTCACTTAAAGAAAAATAAAAGTGTGTGTACGTAGGGAAACTGCTTGAAAATTAATTTTTTTCCTCCTTTTTTTGTAAATTTGTAGAGAAATGTGGAGGAGAGCCCAAGTTCTGGCCTGCTAATCCAAACACAAGCCCTTTATTAGTATTGCACGCTATAAAACCTGTTACACCCGGGACTCTAAAGGATTAAAAATTGATGTCTAAAGCACATGACATCTTAGGCTGTGCAATAGGATCCCTGAATAATGCCCAACAGAACAGGCACTGCTGGGAAGTCTCCTTGCTCTTTTCCAGTTCCAGTGGCTGCAAGAAATATTTTTATTTTAAAAAATCTTATTGCCACCAGTAAAAAGCCATTTGAAAATCAAAATTGAAGACTAAAAATAGGACACCATATTCTGCCCATCTGATGAAATTTAACCTTGTTAATTGGAGAGCTTCATTTCACAGTCTGTAAGAGTCTAATATTACCCTAATGAATATATGGATTTTTTGGAAAGTGTAATGCATGAATGCAATTGAAATAATGCCTTTTCTCCCTTTTATGGCACCAGACTTTGTATCTGCAGAAGAAATCACTGTTTTCTCCAAGGCAAGAATTTGTGCAGTCTAGAATCTATTAACCAAAAAGGGAAAATGGAAAACAGTTCATCTCTCCCATGGAGACTAAATAATGCCCATACGAACTTTAATGCTCAAGATGGTGCTAACTTCAATGAATTAACTTAGGCAGGCAGTTAATTATCCAAAACTTTCGCTACCCTTTCCTATCTCTTTACCATTTTTACCCTTCCTTACTACAGTGAAAAATCTGAAGGAATAAGATCACCGCACCTCTGAGAGCTTCAGAGGTCATCCTTGCCACTTTCCTTGCTGCTGCAGAAACTTCATCATAGCACAACCCCTCAATGCATGGAAGCAGGCTTTGTTGACAGAGTGAACAACTTGGGTGCAAACTGAACTTTGCTAGCAACGCACGCTGAGAAGCCCCATAAATGACAGTGAAGACAGAGCATGAAACAGACACAGAAATGTGTTTACGTGTTCAGGAGGAGCAGGGACCTTCATTCTCTATTTATTTAGAATATTTTTGACAAGTAGCACAAATATCTATGGAGTTGATGCACCATGTAAGAGGCAGTTACTCAATTTTAGGATGCTTTGTTTTTAAACCCCGCTGGTTAAATAGATATTCTTATTTTATTTTAGTTTATTTATTCCTCACAAGGTGAGGGATTGGGGAACATACACTGTTCTTTGAATTCCTGCAGGTTCTGAGCTGTCCTGTGACCTGTTCTCCTGGACACCACACAGTCACAACCTGACCCTGCAACTCCAGGGTTTACTGAGTGTTTTTTACAACCTGGAGAGAGGCTGACTGGAAAATTGGACTAAGCATGTCCTGCCTGACACATACTTGTGTCAGTGGGGGAGAATACTGTGCAAGGGGAAAGAAAGCAAGGAAGCAACATCCATTTATGACTGAGAAACACTATTAGGGTACAGCTGCTGACCAGCCAATGGGGAAGCATCTGGGGCTCTTGACAGATCATGCAGCACTCTGTCAAGACTGTTAAGCCTCATACATATGGTTGATTAAAGAGATATAAAACAAAGAGAACCTGGTAAAATATGGGAGATGGTGGAAGACTTTTTTAATAGTTAAAGGGAAAAACAACCACTACATAACACAAACAGGGCTGCCGAAAAGCCACAGAAATATCCCATACTTACTTTTATCTTCCTGGTTTTCTTCTGCTGCTTTGACTTCCTCCTCCTCCTCCTCCTCTTCCTCTTCCACCTCCTTTTGCTGCACTTCCTCGTGGTGATCAGTGGCTCCCACCGAAAGGCTCTGGCAGCAGTGGTTGAAGCCACTGTCTCGTGGCAGCGTGAAGCTCCTGGGCTTGCCTCCATTCCCGTTCAGCACTTGCATCCGCTCCCCTTCCACGAGTGGGAAGGGGCCGTAGTGGTCTTGCAGGTGGCACTTCTGGGTGGGCAAGGTGGACTGCCGCCGGTGCTCAGGGGACACCACGGCCGTCTCAGAGAACACCGAGTCCTCCAGCGGCAGCGTCTGCAAGTAGTGAAGTCCTGAGCTGGTCAGTGGCGTCTCGATGAGGTCCTGCCAGGAGCGCCTCTGGCTCGCTGTCTTGCGCACCGGTGAGTCGGTGACACTCCCCGCCGCCTCTGGGCGGAACTCCTCGTGTGATGACTGAGACTGGGAGGTCTCTGTGGAGGAGAGGCGGCTGTGCTTTGGCTCCACGTAGGGACTGGTGCAACTCATCTGCAACAGAGCAAGCTTCAGATCAGTGGAGACTGCGGCCTACCCCTAACAGCAATCATATACTGCTTTTTTGAAAGAGTGGTCAGGCACTGGAATGGGCTGCCCAGGGAGGTGGTGGAGTCACCGACCCTGGAGCTGTTCAAGGAACAGTTGGACACTGTATTAAGGGACATGGTTTAGTGAGTACTATTGGTGATAGGTGGGTGGTTGGACTGGATGATCTTAAAGGTCTTTTCCAACCTTGGTGATTCTGTGATTCTGTTGTTACTGATGGCCCCCATTTTGGTAATGACCCTGCACACACACTGATATGCACTCCTACAGAATGTCCCTGTAGAATAGGGACATAGAAGAGGCCCACTCAATTATTTTTTCAGAAAACTTTGTCAAATAGGGCTTTGTGAAGGACACAGGAGAGATGGAATATCTCCCCTACAAGGACGGGTTGAGAGACCTGGGCCTGTACAGTGTGGAGAAGACTCCAAGGAGACCTTTCAGTATCTAAAAGGGGGGCTTATAAAAAAGAAGGGGATGGAGGCTTTAGCAGGATGTTTTGTGATAGGAAGGGGAAATGGCTTTGAACTAAAAGAGGGGAGATTTAGTTTGCATAATATGAAAAAGGTTTTTTACTATAAGGATAGTAAAGCACTGCAGCAGGTTGGATGCCCCGTCCCTGGGGACATTCAAGGTCAGGCTGGATGGGGCTCTGAGCACCTGATTTAGCTGTAGGTGTCCCTATTCAATGCAGGGGAGTTGGAATTGATGCCCTTTAAAGATCTTTTCCAACTCAAATGATTATGATACACTTGGCCCATCAATACTATCTTAAAATTGCAATCCAAATGCCTGCTATCATCCTATCTTGCTAAAAATTACTTTGGAAACACGTTTGCAGAGCTTCAGTACATTTCAAAGCTCTGTGGCTTTGGAAAACGTCTTGCATGCAAATTAAATATCACAAACACTTTCCACAAACTCAACCAAGTTTTCAATTGACATTTTTGTATTTTTTAAAATTATATTGAAGGTGCTTTAGTAATGTCTGAATATATGGACATGAAAATTAAAATTTCCAATGAAGAATAAATTAGAAGATCACTCACTAGGGCTTAAACAATAACTGCTTAAAGAAGGAAATAACGACTAGACCTCCTTTTGCTCTCTTTTGTAGATAAACCTACTTTTTCACAAGCAACAAAACCGCTGTTGGCCATACAAAATAACATTTTTATGTTGGCATTTCTCTGGAAGTGTAGTTTGTTACTGTAATGCTTCACAGCACAACTGTTGTACCTTAGAAAAGAATCTGTTACTAGGGTATTACATTTTGTCAAAGAAGATGGTAAGTGGGATGTGAGCAATTACATGGATGAGTAGGGGTCTATCACGAATTAAGAAGAGGAAGATTTCTGTAACTTAATTCATGTTTGTACAATGAGTAGGATTATACATGTGTTCTCTACACACCAGTGCAAATGGCAAGGATGGTTCTTGAAGCTAGCAATGCATTGTACTTAAGAAATAGTTTATGCCCAGTACTGGCTTAAAAAATATACTGGAGTGCAGTGTTTGCAAGCACATGGTTCTGATCATTAGAGTTCTTGAAAGTGACTTTGTGTGGCCATTCCAGATTAGGCAGTTGCAGGTGACTTACCGAAGGAGGCCGTGGGTATGTATCATACGGGGGTGGTGGGCTGTCTTGTTTGGGTGTCGATGGAGTGTCAGCCTCCTCCTTATCACTCTCACTCCAGTAATCTACAAGTTACATACACATCAGGTCAAAAGCTACCAAGACATTTTGATAAGTTTCTATATCAGAAAACTTGTTTTCATAAAAACAACTAGAAATTCCTTCATAGATATTACTGAGAGTTAAATATCACTGAACGTTGACTCTCTATATGCTAGCTGCTGTAATTTGGAAATGTTTTAACATAAGGAGGAAAAATTTAAAACATTGGGTGTATTTTGTCTCATTTCCCACCACAGAGAAATTAACCAACAACCTGTGAATGTCCCACTGATATAACTCTTGTACACACCTTATAAATACAACGTGCATACAGAATATACATGGTGCAATAAGATTTTCAAATATTTGCTGTATAATCAAAATAATTATGAATGTACATATATTGGCTGGAAATTACAGAAAGTATTTTTTGAATGGAAAAGATGAAAGCAATTTTCAGAAGTCTTATTGGCTGCAAATAACATTAACAAATTTAATCAATACCAACTAGCAAATCAAGCAAGTAGCGGTTAGTGCTTGGACGAATAATCAGTGTTATTTTTATCATCATTTTCTACACTACCAGTTACCCAAGGTTTTCAATTAAATTTCTGATAAGGCAGAAAAACTTCATATAACACCTTCATTATAAAATAGCTGCTATCCTATTACCCAAGCAAGGTAAAGGTGGTTTGTTAAGGAAGAATGTGACAATTATATTTAAGCACAGAACTGTAAAAGATGGGTGAAAGAAAGTACAAAGGACACATCAATTTTGGATTAAATTTAATGGGATATGAGGCTTCCTTTTTATTTGATATCAAGTCTTAGCCAAGTCTGTTTCATATTGGGAACTGGAGTAAATGACTTTTAACAGTCTCTTCCAACTCAAATGATTCTATGATTCTATGATATTTTTGGTAACTTACTCAAGAAGGAAAACACATGTAAGAACGTACAACATGATAATTCTATTTATTCTGTGGCAATTACTTTTGAAGCAGAAGAGGATGCAATTAAATAGACAACAGATCTTAATGTTCCATAAAAAAAGAAAACTAACTGCTGACTCAGATCCAGACGGATGGTCTTTATGTTTCTATACGTTGTAAGACTGATGCAAATGTTTGTGTTGCCACTTTGTTCCTGACTGCACTACCCTCTAGTATTTGGGTAAGCCACTATACCACAGGACAAGTTTATTTCATGCTATTCACAGACAATTTCCACTTTACATGTTCAAGGAACTGTGTAACTTACTATTTTATATTTAATAGGAGAAAAAGGTTTACTATCTGAACTATCTAACCAAAGGAATGGGTTGAATTTTTCCAAGTTAGCACAACATATAATTTTGGCTTTAATGATTTTTGTTACCAACATGATCATGATTAAAAATCTACTGTACCTAATCTTATTCAAGATTTAAAGTTAAAAAAAATTATCTTAAGATGAAACCATTGTGAAATAGTTGTCTCTAAAATTCTTTATCTTTTCAGGCTATGGTACTTGAGGAGTGTGCAGCCATATCCATCTATTTATTCTTTAGAAGTAATAACTTCTCTTTTGTGAATCTGGGTTTCTTGAATTGCCTCATGCAAGCTTATAGCTGAGAGGTTCTCTTCAAGTAGTGTAAGAAATAAATAGTATAAATAATTTTTATCATGGCAATGAAATAAAGAAAAAAAAACCTAATTTCAAATGTCCCTGTCTGCAGACATCTCAAAATAATTCATCACTGGTTGGGAAGAAGACAACATCAGAACAAATGGTTAAGACATTTTCTTTTTCCTTGTTTCCAGCAACTCAGAAAACCTCAAAATACTGGCACGTAAATATGTTTGTTCCCATTATAGCAAAACCTAGTGGAGCTACTTCTTGTGAGAGGCCTGTCAGAGCTATTTCACTCACTGTGATTTCTGCAGCCTTGGAGCTCGTCTATTTATTCTGGAAGTAAAATCTAGCATTCTCAGTGCAGTTTCCAATTTTGGCTAAAAATACAAAAAAAGTTCTTCCTGTCAAAACCATAAAATACTGTATGATTGTGCTTTTGGGCACCTTACCTCAACTAGGAAATTGTGTTGGCAACTTTCTGTATTTGCCTACAAAAAAATCTGCAATTATAGGGGCCAACTTTCAGGTGAAATGAATGAAAATAGCTTCCATCAGATTTAAAAAAATGTTCTCTTTTTGGCAAGTGAGACATTACAGTCTATCTAAAATGTGTGTAATGGCATCGAATGGTTGCCATATTTCTCTCTGCAGATTTTGTCCAATTTAGCAACAGACATGTTCAAAGCATTAGCCATATCTTGAAAGCTTTCTGAATGAACAAGAGACTGTATGTGATACAAGTAAGATAAAATTGACCTGCCATTTTCCAGTTAAAGCTTTTCTATTTAGATAAGCGAGTCCTTTTGTTTCTCTAACTTTCTATGACTGGAAAGCATGTAACTTCTCCATCCAAGAAAGTCCCTTGCCTTATTGCTAGCATTCATTGTATTTAATATGGAAAGCTGATGGTATTTTTATAAGACTGTTCTGCACAGAATGTGACATTTTCTCCAGCAATACACCCACAGTTTAGTGATTCGTGCATCTCTAAAGCACTTGAAATATATTTATACACTTTAGATTCAGAACTGTTCAACTCTTAATTGAAACAAGTTTGACAACTACTGTTGAATTGTTTCAGAAGCATTCTAAAGCTTTCCTGCAAGGGGCTGAACTGACAAAAGACCTTTTGTGAAATTAAATATGTAGATGACAATTGCTACAGTCACTGAATATAGAAAAATCCAGCTTCACAGTTTCTTTAATTTCAAAAACACTTGAAGTGATAGAGAAGCTTTACATTGTTAACTCGATGCCTCTGCTAATTAGGGGCACAGCTCAGCTGTTTAACAGCCCTTGCTCTGGGAGCCAAGGATAAGCAGCAGAGGCATAAAAGCTCTGTGCTGCAGCAAAAGGGGAATGTGATGCTGATTCCCTTCATAAACACAAATACGGAGCATAAAGCGGATATAACATTCCCTACCTCCATACAATGAATCAATTTGAGTAAATGGCATTAGAGTGGAAATAAAGAGCTCCCTCAGTGCTTGGGATATAATTTCAGCAGTAAGTGGAGTCTCACTGATGATCTTCAACAGGGAGCCATTTTAATAATAGGCAACATGAGGCCTGAATACACTGATCTCATGTCTAAGAAAGGGATCATCTGCAATTATTCAGCAACTGCTTGGTAGGAAAAAAATTTCTCCACATCCATCTGGATTTATAAAAGCGCACTATTTCTGCAGTGTGCACTTGGGCAGTGTTAGTATAACTATTCTTACACTTTTTCCTTTATCATCCCACATGTTATTGTAATTCTACTGCCAACTTCCTTTCTATAGAAGCTTCAGTTTGGCTCTGGATGTTGACATGGAGGATTTCCCTGAAAACTCCAAGATTCAGTTTGTTTGTTTGTGGCCTCTTCAAGCAGTGATGGATGGTATAGTTTCCTCTAAAATGGTTATTGCTGTATGACATGGGAAATACAGATTCCCAAGAAGGTTTTGGTTTGGTGAAGCACTGAGAAAATGACTGGAGTGGCAGTGAGCGCAGCATGTCTCCTGGGCTGTGTGAATGCAGAGGACCTGGTATGATGAGTGATGTGGTGTGCACAGACAATAACAGACCACACCAGGAGATGGGCAGCACTCCTACAGTAAGCAGCTGCATTTGCTGGAAGGTATAATTAGAAACAAGGCAGCAGCAGGTACAACCTAGTTATCTGAGGGAAAGGCTGAACACCCACAAATCTTCCCTCCCACACTGCTACCATCAAAACACGTCTCAATGCTGTAAGCCACTGATCTTCAACAGCACCTCTAGGGTGCTCTGTAGTAAGACAATCACGATATGAATTAAGGCCATTTCCTAACATCTCTTCATCTTCTGCCACTACTGCATATCTTACCCCATTGATGTTTGCACCTGCCTAGTAAACTCCTCCTTGTTTCTCAATAGGCAATGAAGTCTTTTGCGTGGTGTCTCCCAGGAGGGAGACATGGCTAATGCCAGAAGGACATGGCTAAGGCTGTTGTTACATAGGCTGGTACAGAACCAAGATTTTGGGGGGCAAGGGGAACATCACATGGCTAATTTTGAAGCCTAGCGAACATCTTCTGAATACAAATTCTCCCTGAAAAATGGCTAGAAATGGAGTTTTTGTAAAGAAAAGACTGCATTAAATACATTGCTGCTGCAGCGCTAGCTACATGCTTTTCAGAACAAAAGTTAGAGCTTCACTGATGAAGGCTGAGAAGCCACAGAATTAGAATGTGGTATTCTGACTTTGGAGGCAGCAGGTAGACAGGCACTCAGATGAGTTCTTGCTCATTCTGAACACTGTCATTGTCTGGTGCCTGCAGCTAGATACACCTGTAAAAAAGAGTAAGAACTGAGATGCCAAATGCTTTCCAGACCAGTCTGTTGGATATAAATGCTTCTGTGAATCTTTGCCACTGGCAATTTGACAAAACAACCTGCCCAACACAATGGATCCTGCTGGCCAACATGATTTCTACTGCAGCAAACTAAAACAAAGTGACTCGTTTTAAATTTGCTACTTTCATAAAGCTATGAAATACTAGACGTAAAAAATAAAAAATGATGTAAGTCTACAACTCCAAATGAAGAGTTCACTGAAAAGGCAACAGGGCTCTACCACGCACCTTAATATAGCAAAATCAGTAGTAATCACCACTACACTTAATGGCCTTAAAATTAAGTCTTTCAGGGAAATCCAATTTTGTCAGCAGATTTCAGAGGAATGTTTTTGTTCTAGAGATCAATTTCATGCATTCCTACTCCTGTAAATTCAAATACCAAATGACAATGTTTTCAATTTTTTTTTTTTTAGTCTACAGATTCTTAAGTTTGTTCTGATGGGGGAGCACATACCTGGGCACCACATATCTGAGACTACTGGCAGTAAATTTGCTGCTTTTATCTACTTTTGCAGCATTCAAAGAAATAATCCAAGGGTACATGGATCAGAATCTGAAGGAGCTAATCAAAAACCCCAAGAGAAAGAATTTGCTACTGCAACAACAGTGAAACTCATTTGAGAATTGCTCTCAGCTGATGAGAATGAGGCCTGATACACAGCAGGGAAAAAAGAGCAGATGAACTTGTTATAAGAGCTGACAGTAGAAACCAAAATAATAACACATTACCTTGCTCTTGCTTGATTCTCTCCCTTTCTGCATAGCCAGCAGCAAGCATGTTAATTCTGTTTAGCCATCTGAAATAATATTAAAAGAGCAGTGATACTGATCCAGAATGTTAAATTATGGTGCACCTCTACAACAAACAAAAGCATGAGCATCTGAAGGAGATTCAGAATAATGTTATTTTTCATATTAAACAGCTGTTTTCTTTGATAGTTTTACTCAGGTAGCCTCCAAAGATCTATAATTACGCTGTTCAAAAAACTGTTTTTACAGCATAGATCTTGCTTCAAATAGAAAACCATGTATGATGTCAAACATCTGTAAAACACAGGATTTGGAGATAACCACAGAGCTATTAAGTCTGCTGCTCACAGATACACCATCACATCACTACTCCTGCTGTTCTGATTTCTTAAGAATAAACACCACTTTTCAGAAATTTAAGCAATACTTTAAGGCTTGAATAGGCAATGTAGCAGAGGAACAGAGCAGAAATCCGCTGTCAAAAGAACAGGCTCCATGCTAAACAGACAGTGAAGCTTAATTATGCCATTATGTGTTTTGGGGCTTACCTATAGTGCCACAAAGAGAAGGAGGCATACCAGAATTCACTTTTGCGCTTGTGTCAGAGAAGCAGAGAGAGGAAAGGCAGTTGCCTCAATGCAATTCACATCTAAGGTTTTCTCCTCAACTCAGACTTGAAAAAAGGCTTCCATGAGCTGCACGAATTAATAATGAACTACTGCAGTTCTCTTCTAGCAGAGCAGTCATTGTGAGGCGTACATTCAGCTGCCCGTACCAATGCTTTCCTTCAACCTCCCCTCTTCCCCCGTGTGGCTCTCAGTGTATTCATTATCCGACCACTTACACTAAATCAGTTTCTCCATCGATGAAGCTTTAAAAGCACATGACAACCTTCTACGGTTGTCCATTCCATATTAAACCTGGAATTGCTTATTCCAGCCATCCCACAGTCAGGATGACAGACTTTGTTTGCCAAGCTAGTGAGCAGCTTGCAATTTTACTGCTAGTGTTGGTAGAGAGATAAGTGAAGTCAGTTTTGTATTTTCTTCAGAAATGTGTTTCAGAAAACTGTGCCTGAGGGGTTTTATTTGCACAGTGCACACATGGAAACAGCATATATTATTTTCTCAGCAAGAGAGGCCTTTCTGAGACCTTTTTAACCCCTCCTGCATGCCTACCTTTGAGAAACTTTTGTGCACGGAAAGTAGGCATAAGATCATAAAATACCTTGAAATAAATATCTCCTTGAAATAAATTTCTCCAACTGCCCCTCCCAAAATAGTGACCAGTGGGCAGTGATGTATTATCTGTAAATTATGCTAATAGTCCAGAAGTCATTATGTATTGGTAAGGATGCTAGAGATCTGCTTCTGAAGTGATTACAGCATACTTCATATTAGCTTATAATCAACATTTCTGCCAGAATGATAGAGAAGCTGAAGATGAGACAAAATTTCAGTCGTACTTGTTAGGAAGTGCCAAGCATTTATAAAAAGTCAGAGGCACATGGAGGCAGAGAGTCAACAAATTGTGCATCAGATGATTATTGCACATTTTCGTGGCAGAAAAAGTGATCCCTTTCCAAAACAATCCCTTAGGTTAACTCTCCTGATTCAAGAAGGCTTTCTTTGGAGAACAAAGCTCAGACCTTATCACCACGCACGGCAGTCAACATGAAACAACCACCTACTGAATCTCTTGGAATAGATCTGCTGACCACAACATAATAGGTAAGATAACTACGGGAGTTATCCAGTTGAGAAATTTCATTTCATCCTAAACATAAGATAGCATTTTGTACATGTACAGTTAGTGAGGCAATCAGCTACATTAACAAAGAGTTAATTGACAGTCGATTGATATTGGTTGTAGCTATAGCGGATAACTCCAGAAAATTTCTGGATAAATTTCTGATAAATATAATGTGATGATAACCCAGGAGCTGTATACCGGTCTAAAGGAGAGACAGCTGACTGACTTCACATTTAATAATTTTGTTGTTCATGATTTGTGTCACCTACAATGCCAGTGGCCAAGTGACAAGGTGTGATACAGTTGTAGAGTTAATAACAATGGCTTTTGAGTGGTTTGCTAGTTCAGAGATTAAGAGAATGGCGTTGACTTCTGCAGATTTTCTAATATATGTCCATTAAAGATTCATTGGATACAGTTAGAAGAACGTGTTCAGTTAGAAAATCATTATTTTGATTTAACGTGGCTAGAGTTTACTCCAAGTTAGGGTCATATGAGAAATCTATCACATTGGGCTTGTATCACAGGGATTTGTAAAGATCTCTGGAAGAACAAAAGAAGAGTAAAAAATACCTGCTTTAAACAACATAAGGGACAAAAGTATCAAGTGTACAGTTATATAAGAACTCAATATAAATATTAAAACATACAATAAAAACCCACTTGAAAGTCATCTGCAAAACTTGGTCAAGGGAAGATTTTAATCTCCTTTCCCTACATTGTGCTGTGTCTTAATAACCACTGTAGTTTTCGCAAGGGCAAGAAGCCAAGAAAATATTCCCTCCTTACTGCAAGTGCAGCTTTAGAGTTTTTGTGAGAAGTCTGTTATTGTTAGCTGTGACAATAATAGTTAAAATAGTTACAGTAAGTAACATTGGTACTTGCAGCAATCATCTAAGTTTGCTTTCTTCCTTTTCTGTTTTTAAATCTTTTTAAGAATAGGACATGTACATTTCCCCTCAGTATTTAATTAAAACAATTTCATGACTCACACTAGAAGTAGATAAAAATATTTCTATAGATCTGAAACTTTCGTAAGAAAGAATGCACTGTATTGGCATTCTCACAGAATAGTAGGAAACAATTTCTTATCTCAAGCTCCAAATACATGCAATGCTTGTAGTCAAATTTAGTTTAGGGTGTCAAATTCTCCTTAATCATAAAGCTCAAGGATGAGGATGAACTAGCTATATGGGAGTATGGGCACCATACAATGTATATAAGCAATCAACTGCATTTCAACTAGAATGAAGAGATCTGTAGGTGATACTTGCAAAAATTTAGAGGTCATCTTCATACACCTAGAGACATTCTCATGTGCTAACACTACAAACTGACTTGTGTCCTCTTTGATCTTGATCATCTAGTTACATTGAGAAAGAAACTTCTTACCAATTTCAATACTCTGGACTCCAACAAAAAGAGAAACAATACAGTTCAGTTACCATAGGTTCAAGGAAGTTCTCAGACAACCATTCCACATGAAGTTACTGACTGTAACTGCCTAGCTTGACAACTTAAAGAGTCAGCCACAGTTACCAGAGAAAATCAAAACAAATTTATGTATGGTGTCATTAAGAAGAAATACGTGGACTGCTTTCTATAGTAGATCACTTTCTTGGAATAAAAATAAATTTCCAAGGAAGGTGTTTCAGTGAATATATACTTACATTAGCAAAACAGTACTTTGTGTCAGTAAAGGGTATTCTGTCCTTCTCTCACCCAAACTCAATGTGCTATGTGGGTAGAAAGAACAATTTTGCTGCTGTAGCCATGCAAAGGCAAGGAACTTCACAACAATAAAGTTCAGTGATCATAGCTCCCCAGGTTTCTTACAAGCATAGCAATATGGCATAAAAGTAGTAAGAAATGTTGAATAGTGACAAAATCCTTTCATGTTCTACATATACTTTTTTTTTTTTTTAATTACATTATTTTATTCAGAGGTAGAAGGAACTGAATGATCTGTAACTTTCTGTTAGTCTGTTTTAGCAGTTTTCTTCTATTGTTCTGCTTTCCAATATAACAGAACTAAAATGATTGCATGATATATTATTAAAACATCTTGGAAACCTGAAAAAGAACAGAAATTGCTTAAAATAGTCTTATTTACCTTTTAATATACTGATTCTGTATTTGACTCTGGCTAGGTCAGAACATGCTTTTAGATAGGAAGCAATGTCTTTCATTATCTCTGCATTTGAAAGACTATTTTTTAGTAACGCATTTTTTCAGTTCAGTTAATTTGCGTACTTAGTTTATGAAAGTGAACTTCTTTTTCTTACATTATCAATCAAAGAAGATAAAAAAACATATGTTGAAACGGCAATGCCAATTCAGACATAAGAATTTCAAGTAATTCCATAGAGCTTGATGGGGTTACTTGAAATTTACACGTGTATAACATGGAACAAAATTTAGTCTCACTCATTCTAAATAAAATAGTAAGCACAACTGATAAAAAACAATAAAAGACAGCCCATGCTAGGAAGATGAAAACTTACTAGCTCTTATGTTATACTCTGTGCAGTATGTTTTTAATGTACTGATGCACATTTCCTGCTGCTTTCTGATTACTGAAGAGCCACATTCTAATTTTCAGAAGCAAGCCACCTTGTCACACACTGAGGACCTACTGACAGAAGTGATTTATCTGCTGCTGTAGTTCAGAATATGCTGAATAGACCACGTCATTATTCTGTTTGCTGTGCAGCAAACTGCACTTTGAGTGACTGGCCTGACAGATTTATCTAGTAGAGGCAAGTCTAAAATTTTACAAACAAACAAAAAGGTTTTAAGTTTTCTAACTGAGGAGAGACTTTTGAAGTGAGCTTTAGTCGTGCATGAACTTTTGAAAACATTAACAGACGGCTATTTCTAAATAAAAGCAAGCACGGCAGAGTACTGGCATCCTTTTTCAGTCATATATTATCAGTAAAGAACTGGCAGTACAATGAAGTTCCCTGGCCAGGTAGCTGAATCTAGTACACGCAGGACAGATTAAACTGTGATCTTACTAATGTGTTTTATGGATTGGGATTTATCTCATTTTCCTCCTGTTTCAAAAGCACCTCAGCTGGGATGTCTACAAACATTATCCAAAACAGAACAATTATCAGGCTGCAACCATAGATCTTTTTTGTGCCCTATCATATGATGAAAACTACATCCTATGAGTTAACTTCAGTGTATGTTGTGAAAATAAATGAAATGAATTCTCAGATAGATTTGAATAGACATGGGATCTATATTTTTAATTTGCCATTTAAATGAAGTAATAGAAATTGTGTTTATTTTGTGCTGAAGTCTCAATCATTCTGAAAAATAGACCTAAAATACTTAGAGGTAAGCTCAACACACAAAGAAGCAAGACTTAAATGCTTTCTTTTTCAATTTCTTTTTGTTAAAAGCTGATGAGATTTTCCCTGCTAATTTCAATAAAACTGAAATTTCACCTCAAAGTGAAAGTTACATTCATGTTGGTAGCGACAGTCTGCACAATTAAGTCTTTGCTATCTCTAGATCCTATTTCATGAATGGCAGAAGAAAAAAAATCAGTGACTGCTTCTCCAACTTCTTCCAACCCCTCAAATGCCTCAAAGGAGAATAGAAGCATCCTCAAATCAAGCAACATGCGTCTGTGGAGATAGGCTGGGGTGCCAAGTTGGAGATATTCCACCTTTGCAGGTGTAACACAGCTAAGAACAGCTTTACAGAAACCCAGAATTCTTAAATTGTGCTTCTGAGTTATTTTCAAAATTTCAAAGTTTTTTTTGCTTCTTTTTAGAAAGACAAAACCTCGTTTCCAAAAATCTCCAAATGTTTCTTTCAAAAAAGATACTTCTTGCATGAATTGAATGTTTAGCATATGCAGACACTCAGAAATAATGCCACTCTGAACTCTTTTTTTTTTTTTTTTTTTTTTTTAACTACAACCTTCTTAGCTAAACAATTTATCACATTCTAATTCGTAATCACTAGCTTCAAGGAAATGCCTTGCGTAAGGAATGGTTCCTTGAATTTTGCTTAACTTCCTTACCTGTTCATATCATCTAGATGTTCAGCAGCAAAATAAAAACTTTTGATCTTAGGATGGCAGGCTTTGAATGCGCTGTAGAGGAAAAACATAATTATAAAAATGTAATGGTACAACTTTTCTTTTTTTTAATGTAAAGTAGTGTGGTCACCGAGCAATGAGATGAGTCCAGATTTCCTGAGCTGTCGGAAGCCCCCAGACATGACACAAAAATACCACATCCTTGAGTCCTTTGTGTCCCTCTCAATTCAGGATATTCTATAACTTTATGATATTAACATTTAGGATAGTGGCAGATTTCAGTGACTGAAATGTTCTTCACCTACACCTACTTTTGTACGTGTATAAATAGAGACTGTACACTTACTGTGATAGTTTTATGCATTTTGCAATTTTACTGATATATACTGAAGGTGTCAATTTTTACCTCGACTGAAAATTGACCGAAGAATTTATTCAATACAACAGAACATCTCGCAATCCTGGTAATTTATGACATCCCAATGACCTTGATGTTACCTTTAGCTCTGATGACTGAATTTCAAACAGAAAAATATGATGTGATTTACTTTTGAAAAGCCCTTATAAATCAACAATGTGTTCTTGAGGTCATTCTAAGCAATGGGAAATTACATCTCATCTTTTCTTTCCACCAAAGTAATCAACATGATAGGCTGTGAGAATTACTTGAAAGAATTTTGTAACTATGTTGCATGAAGATTTATGGTGAAGCTCTTAAAGATTTAGAAAATGCATCTGACAGTAATTAATAATTGACAACACAGAAGAATCATTTTTGAGAATAGCCTGAAGGTTTTTCCCAAAATAAGAAAAAAATGCATAATACTCCTCAAGAAAATAAGGAAAACTCTAAGCATGATATATGAAAAACATCAGTGGCATTTTTCTGAGAGACAGTGGACTATATGTATATATATGCATATAAAAAAAATAACAATTCTCTCTCTAATCTTTTGCTCTTTAGAAAAATGTTAATGGTGCTCTTCCTGTGTATCATGCTTGCAGAATGTAGCGTGTTTGTATGTGCGTGTACACACACACACGTAGTTACATATACAAAGATATATATATATACATATATATGTTTTTCAGAAACCAGGTATATGAAGTTGAAATCCAGGAAAGATACTGCTACTGAAAGTAGCCTGTAAAAATGAGACAAGAAGCAGTCCTAAACATTAGAGCACGACACAATGTTATGCAAGTGAAAGCAGATGTACAGTGACGTCTGCTCGATTTAAAAAGACATAATCAAGTTACTGATACCCAAAACCTGACTTAAAACTGTTACAGCATCTGCCATCTGGATTCTTACATATTCTTTTTACTTTATCTGTCATCCAAGCAAGGAAATTTAACAGCCACATTTTATGTTCTGCTATCTATCAGATACCAAATCAAGTAAAAAGCAATTTATCAGGATGCATTTCTGAGAAATAGGCTGACTTCATGTCGCTGCCCCAACAAAACATACAAATGAAGCACTTCAGCACTGTAGTCCAAGGACAAAGGACACAGTAAGCTCAAGTTAATGTTTTAATGCTATTTTTATATTCTGTTCTATGAGATCATAATGAAGAGTAGAGTTCACCCTGAAGAGCTACGTAGGCTGACTGGTACAAAATCAGTGTCTTCTTCTTAATTGTATGTAACATAAGATACATTGCTTTGCTTTTGAAATGGCTTTTCTGTACAATTTTCAGTAATTCCACAGTCTTTATAAACTTCAGTCAAACAATGGTAAAAAGCATTAGAAGGAAGCTAAAAAGTTTACAACAGTAAAGACTCTAAGAATACTTCTGTGAGAGTACGCATTCCTCATATCACTAAATATACAGGAACTTGCATCTAAATGAAAAATGGGTTCTGGCAATGGTGCAAATGTGGATACCAGCAAACAAAGATAGGTGAGAAGGAAAGTTACTTTAAAAGTCATACTCTAGATCAAGCCATTCTGCCATTCCCTTGTTTTACTCTGCCTCAGGACCAATATAATAAGCTAGCAGAGTTCGAGATCATGCTAACTAATTTGCAGTTGCATTAAAGATGGATTTTTGACCAGGTTTCAAACAACAAAAATAACAACCAAAAATAACAACCCTCCCTTCTGAAAAGGAGAGGAGTAAACTAAGAAAATAATAATAATGAGACAGAAGCAAGTATGCAGCCTTGTTACTCTTAATTCAAAATAAACTTAAAAAATACCACCACCACCACCAACAATACTAAAATTCACACAGAAAAAAAAACAAAAAACAAAAAACAACCAAAAAAACAACCAAAAAAAAAACCCAACACAAAAATCTCCATTCTTCTTTAAGAAAGATGACGCAGAAACCACACTGAATTTGGCAGTTCTGTATGAACTCATTCTGTGATATAACTAAATGATTATTGTAATGAAGTCAATTATGTCACCGTTTTATAAAGAATGTTCAACTTTGTTTCACTTTTTCTATGGTACTGTACTGCTCCTATTGTATCATTGCATTATTTTTGAACATACTTACTATTTCTTTCGGCATTCACTTGCTCTGTCAATTTTAAATTCAGGTAGACTGATAAATCCTTCCGCTTTTTCATCCTGTAAAGATAGTTCTAAATAGTACTGTTGTAAAGGTGTTAGAAAAAAAAAATCCACATTGAAAACAAAGATATTTGCATTTGCCTGCTTCTTATATAAGCAGTACCAATGTATGCTCTGCTCTGGCAAACCTCCTGTAGAAGTCACTGGGACTTTTGCCAAAGTAGTAAGATCCCTTGGTGTAAAATACCATTTTAAATATCCAGTTTTCTCAAACAATTTCACAGTTGAATGTGCATCTGAAAATATACAAAATGACCAAATGTATGCAGGCAATTAGTTACTGTAATTAAATAATTTCAGGGGAGGATGAACTAATTAGTAAGTAGAAATGCAGCCTACTGTAATGAACAGAAGAAAAAAGTGAAAAAAAACCCCACTATTTAAATAAATGTTGTCATCCTTATACTATATCGCAACTAGGATATGCAATATCACTTCAGCTACTTGTTATCTCTCTCCAACACACAGAGAAGACATCTAACCTTCTTCCTCTGTCTTCTAAAGACTTGCACATAGGTTATTTTATCAGATATTCAATCTGCATTGACTGCACAATTTGAAAGAATTATTTCAAGACACTGACACATCAATACCACAGATTCTCTTCTTTGACTGTTGATGCCTTGGCCTGAGAAATCAACACAGGATCATGAGAGTGAAGCTGCAGAAGACACAACTATATTTTAAGGAATTCCAAAGAATTACATCTTTTTCTCTCAAAATCCCCACAGCTACATGTGCAGTCTATATGATTATTTTCTTTTTAATAAATAAATAAATGACAAAGATCAGCATATGAAACTGCAATGGAGTCATTCTGTGGGAGGTACAAAGTTGTCAGATGTTCTTCATTAGACCTTTTTTTAAAATGAAAATGAAGTTGTTTATAATGAACTTGTTATTATTATTATTTTCTTTTTTGCATAGTTTCCAAAGAAAAAGAACAATTGGCAAGAGCATGGTTAAGTTATCTGTCCATCTGTCACTAAGGCCTCCCTGTACCCTCCCACCTTTTGAATCTTTTGATGAGGAAGATGAGGTCTCAAAAATAACAGCCCCAGAAAGTCAAGGAAACTCAAGGCAGGAAGGAGGCACAGGACCTCAGACCACTGCCTTCTCCAAAGGTACACAAGGCTCATTAGTTCCCCAGGGTCCTTGTCTAGCTGGTGGCTAGTCATTGCATTAGTACTTATGAATTTCTATCCTGATGATGACCTTGTAGGGTAACCTCGGGAGAGAAGATGCGAAGGAGAGAGTTAGGGTTACTGACATAAAGATGGGATGAAGGCAAAAATGAAGTAAATGTGTGGGACAATGGGCTCTGTTCAGAGAACTTCTTTTCTATCTACTCCATCTACTCAGGGAGAAGTTACATTTTAAAAAAATTGTGCATAAATGCTTGCAGTGATTAAAACAAGTAAGGTAGTCCAAGCCTGAGTACACTCACATGTTGGTAATGGTTTTATCTCAGGATACTAGTAGAGTTTAAAATTAAGGCCTTCTACCTGACTGGCAAAAAGCTTTTCTGCTTAAGCTGATATAAATAATCCTGTATGAATGCAAAACATGTCACACAATTAAAGCTGTAAACAATTTAGTTGAGCTGCTCTGATGCTCTTTAAGTTCAGTATATATGAGCCCTGAAATCAGAACAAAAGCTAGAGAAGGAACGGCACGAGAAAACAACTGAAGAAAACAAAAGCATCTTCTGTGATTGCCAGAGCTTCTGGTAATCTCACCATTACATATAAACAGGGAATGCTAGGCAGCATATAATTAAAGTTTACATTCTCATGACTAAACTTGAATGACAACATTAAATAAGCTACTTTTCCCTTTCAATGGCTTGATGACAGATTCATGCTAAAATGGTGAGAGCCGAACTCTGGAAAGTGTGTTTTTAATTCTTGTAGTAAAGGGTAAATCTGAATATTAATTCTTTCTTTGGTAATTTAGGCAGGTAATTAATATAGGGCATAGTTATTTGGGTCTATAAAGCTGCACAGATAAGCCACTGGCTTTCCACAAAACCATGGCATTAACACTACACAGGTTATATGATGAAACAATAAGCATACATGCTTACCTCTTCATTGATATACCAGTAGAGAGATGTGTCTTTCAGGACAAACCAGTATTTTTTCCATTTCTGGGAGAAATAACTCTTAGCATCTTTCTTTTTCCAAAGCCAGCCTTCGCAGTCTCCTCGGCCAAGATCTTTACAGGAGATCCTTCTTTTGCTTTTACCAGGAATAGGAGCTGAAAATGACAAATTGTTGTGAAAGCATTTGACTCGTCCCTTATGTCAACAAGTTAGCTACAAAGCACTACAAATTTGCTTCACAACATTAAGGAAAAATTTCAACCTTCATTTTCTGTTCCTAAATTACTACAAGCCTTTTATTAAAGTCTATGTGAGACAACACAGCTTAAAATAAACAAAACCAAAACAATGTTCAACACCTTACAGAGCTCATATTCTAAAGCTGTGACCAAAAAACAAACAAACAAACAAACAAAAAAAAAAAAAAAAAACACAGAAAGAGAAGATGTTTTTGAGAAAAGAAAGGAAGAAAAATGGTTATTTATCATTTTCAGCAAATTAGTATTTCATGTCAGATTAAAGCACACAGCATATAAACTGACATATTTCACACCTGGCTACTAATTCTACAATATTTTTGTGAAATAAAACTAGGTAAATACTTAATTGGTATTCAAAAACCTGTCTTTGAACCTCCTTTTGCAGCGGAACATTTCCCGAGGCCTTTGTACTTCTAAATCAAAGGAAAACAGTTTACCATGATATAATTACCAGACAACTTAAGTAACGATAAACAACTGCAGTAAGGCATTATGTGGATACAGCTGCAAAAACAGCCCTGTCCCCAAAGAGGCTAGAATGTAAATATTGAAAAAAAATAAATAGTAGCAGTATGATGATAAGGTAACAGGCTACTATAAGACTTCCATAGCAGACTAATAGTTTATCAGTACGATGTTCAAGGAACTCAGTATATTTCTGTTCAACTGAATTACTCATTTGACTGGAGTAAAAAAGTTCTAGTTGGTCTAAGGTATGTGTAGTGTAAACACTGATGCTTGCAATTCTCTTCCTACCAACATATGAAAATAAATTTATTTTTTACCTTTGTTTTTCTTTTTACTTTTCTGCTGTAGAGAAGATTGCTGAAATGTCTAGAAGAAAATCAAAACAAAAGAAGAGATAATGCAGCGCTTATATTCAACCACATGCTATCATAAAAGAACATTGCGAGTGCTGAAGTCATCTTCAGGTAACAACATCTTCAGCTAATAGCCTTCAAGGCCAAAAAGATGTCAGTTTTGGTTGTAAAAAGGTCATACGTTCATAAGACTGTAAAACAAAAGCACCTGGTTAAGAATACTAATGTAGACTGCAAATTAATCTGCCATTAACAACTGAAAATTCTCTGTATAATGGTCCCTTATTTCTAATTCTAATAATAAAAGAGAACATGTCTCTGTTTCCTATGATAGTAAAGCTATACAGCTCTTGCATTTATAATAAATGGTCTCATCTTCCTGACATAATTGCCTTAGTTAGTTGCTTTTAGTCTAAAGGCATTTACATTGTGATCATTAGGACATCAGATATTTTTGTTCAGAAATGAATCTAATATTTAATTATGGTCAATTGCAACAGTGAAGAATTCTCACAGATCTGTATTTTGAAATAGAAACTATTTTTCTTTTTAAACCAGATTTGACTGAAAGTGTTTCTCTCCAGTTGATCCAGCACCATGAACAAACCCACTGCCTTGGAAATAAGACAGGTTGGAAATTGTTCCTGAAGTTTCTAGATTATTAAAAGCAGCAATGCATATTAACACATTTTATGATCTGTTAAAAACTTTAGACTCAGATAATCATCATCACTACAGTGAATTAAATAATTCTGTATTTAATTATTCTGAACATTTAATTTAACACAGTTTTAATTGTTTTGAATTTTAATTGTACATAAAGATAGACAAATTACGTTTGTGCTGAAACCAAGAAATGGCCACACTATAGCATCTGAATATTAAAAATTCTTACTGCAGCATACAATGAATCAATACAAAAAATTTTTCTCAAGACAAAAAAAATATTTTTCTCTTATTACTGCTCATGAGTGCACAAGGAAATCTCGAGTTGGAAGGAAGCCACAAGGATCATCGAGTCCAACTTCTGGATCCACACAGCACCACCCAAAATCCATACCCTGTGTCTGAGAGTGTTGTACAAATGCTGCTTGCAGTCTGGCAGCTTGGGGCTGTGGCCATTGCCCTGGGAAATGTTTTTTTTTTGTTTTTTTTTTTAAACCAAAATATTTATAAGCAACATGTATTAGTCAATACCATTCATGATATGGCACGGTACGCACCTCCAAACTATGGCAAGTAAGGATGAAATCTAAAAATGTTTATTGTGGAAATCACCAAATGTTATCTGCAGCCTCTCTACAGTTACTAGAAAATGAATAAAGCCATTTTCTCAATGTCATTTGGAATCTCAAAACAGTGGAGGATGTATGGGTCTTCTGGAGCTCCTGTCCTACATCCTGCTTAGAAAAAGGCTTGTTTTAAATTGGTGCCAATGGCAGATTATGTTCTTCAGGGTCATCTCCAGCCTATGTCCAACTGTCTCCAAGTAGGCAGACTTCACACTCAAGTGACCTGTCCCAGTACTGACCATCATAATGTTTCCCCCTCTACAGCTTAGTTCTGTGATGTGGCAAGTGTAACATTAACACAAATAACACTTTTTAATACCACAAATCCGAAAAATATGGATTCACACAGAAACCAGAAATCCAACTGTACTAAAGCCATTTTACTGCATGATAATGTTCATTCACCTACTCACAAGGCTGGATTTCAACACATGTATACTACATTTTGGTTCTGCTACAATCTGAGCTTTGAGCAACTATTTTCTCATACATCTTGTCCTTGTTTCCAAGAACTCATCTCTCCTACTAATTCTGAAAGCAAACATAAAATTAAATGGAAAATAGCATTCTATATAAAAGGAAATTGTTACTAACTCAAAAAATAGATGAAATGAAAACAAAACTGCCACTGAGAAGATGAAATAGATTAACATCTTAACCCAAATGGAAATTTTCACTCCTGAAGAAAACTTGCAACTGTTTATTCAAATTCTGAATGACACGTTTTTCCGTTGCCCAAAATACAATTAGCAAAACTTTGCATTACCCAAAGAAAGATGACATTTGATGCAAAGCTCTCTTGAGTACGCAGAGCCTCGGTTATTTGAATTTAGTAATTTTCTGCCACAATACAATTGCTTGCACTTGTGTTTAATAATAAACCTAAAATAAATCCTCTGACAAAAGCACATGTATGCAGAACGTCAGAGAAACATTTTATTCATATATCTATATATCTATTTCTGCTATTAGCAGCTGCCAAAGCACATGTTATTTCAAGAGAAATAAAACATTATCTATAATAGGGATTACAGCTATGTTTCTGTGTTTGGTTGCTTTTTTTTTTTTTTTTTTTTGACAAAGGTGGTAGCCTTCCTCTTGATAGTATTTCAGTCTGCCTGTTCTGAAGGCTTGGCTGCAGAATCCCACCAGCCATTTGAGATTTCCTTGTGCGCACCTGAACCATAACAGCTGCAAATGATCATTACTGAACTTGCTATGTGGATTCTATTTACTGTCACACACTTCAAAATGGTTGACAGAGTTCTCAAAGCCCATCAAAAAACTGCATAGGAGTAAATAGCAGTGTGCCCTGGGGTATGTACACTTCACTGTGCTTTTAAGATTATAGTGTGGTATTGCAGCTGCAGAGTAAAAAAATTCTAGGTGGGAGTTCACACTAAGAAAAGAGGTCACCAACAGTTTGTAATTTTACTGGTTGCTTTAGCAAGAAAGTAATCACGTATAGAAGCACAGTTCAGAAAAACAGCAGGCATGCAATAACACTCTAGCGTTACAGTATGTACAACATAAAGCTTTCAAGAAATCGAGAAATGAGACTTTCAGGTTTTTCTCTCATCCTCAAAATCTACTTTCAGTTTCTTGAATAGTACCAAGACTCCTGTATATTTGATCAAAAGGGATGCAAAACTGAAAGCAAACAGTAAATATTCAGAAGCCTGAACATGTGAATAACTATTACGGACTACTTAGCAGTAATTTGATAGCTCTCTGTATCAAAAACTTACTTAAATAAAAACATTAAATGATTTAAGTTTCAATGAATGCATTTATTTCATGGCAAATAGGAAAGTTAATAAAGTAATCAATATTAATTTGGAGTGAAACTGCTATCCAAAGAGATGGATATTTGATAAAACTCAAACTGCAGTAATAGTTAGGAAATTCTATTTGATACCTAAAATGAAAGTAGAAGAAAAATGCATAACAAAGGGTTATCAAAACTACTGAATGGGGCTACTATTTTTTCAGAAATTTGAGAAGGAAGCCCAAAGAATTAGGGTCAAACTATTCCTCTAATACCTATGCAAGAGCTTCTCTAATAGCTAACATATATATGCATGAGACCAAAATAATGTGACACCCATGTCCAAAACTTAGACAAGCCCAAAAAAATCATGAGGAGTCCTTCATTGTAACAGAATATACAGTTCTGCTACAAAAGATCCTAACTGAATCTTCTCTGAAGATCTGGATTAGACATAGAAATTAGTGTTAAATATGATGGCTCCTAAAGTCTTCATTCAGATGTTTATTTCTTCATTTTTCTTTAGGGATTCTCCAGTTAATCATTTTGGAAAGCAGGAAGTGAGAAACAGGTTATGAGAATAATAAACTCCAACTCTTTTACTTGGGCTCATTTTGATTTGGAAGGAAAATAGTAGATATCTTTATTGCTTGTTTTTCCTTTTGAAAGCTCAAGTCAAATCCAATTTTTCTGAAGCTGCAAGTTTAGACATTAAGGAACTATTTACAGTCATACACTCCACTCTCTGTCAGTGTAAGATAACTTTCTCTAGTTTCAGCAAAGTAGCTTGCAACATTTCTACTTACTGTAACTTTTGTCTGCAGATGGAGAAGCTGATATCTGGAAAAAAATAGTAAACTGGTGCTGCCTATTTTTGGGCTTCTCACACTCAATAACTTGACCTCATTGACTATGCTGTGTTTCCACAGTTCTGATGAACTAAACATACATGTTTCTCTTAGTGAGATATGTACACCGTGTTTCTTGGTGTATGGAGATCCAAAATTTTGGGGAAAAAAAAAGAAAACCATGTATTCCCAATGACAGTATTATGCTTTTTGGCTTGTTATATTATTTAGCCTCCATTAAGAGCTAATGACAGATAGCATTATTTTCATAGATGCTTAAGCAAAACAGTTTTAAAGAACTTTGCTACAAAGGCGTGATGAGAGAAGACCTCTGGGAACTCAGAATGGTTCTGAAAGCAAACTGTAAATCAGCAGCAGAATTGCATTCGCAATAGATAACTACTTTGTTTAGAGCAAGGCCAAGTATCGACCTGTTGTTACATTTTGGTCTTGAAACAAGAAGAGATTACTGTCAGCAATGAAGCCAGCTGAGTTCACACAGGGCATCTGCAAGGCATTTTTTAGAGATGAAGCTGAACAGACAGGACTTTAGCAGCATAGAAGTGATGAGGCATGAACTAGTACTTTGAAGGAGCCAGTTATCGTGGCTAAGGATCAGATAAACTATCTAAGGGTGAAAATATACTCAACAGGAATCTACTAAAAAGTGGGATAAGGAAGGACTGGACTCCAGATTATGATCCTATTCAGGAAGGCAAAAACAAAAATATGTCACAGGCTTGTTTGAATTGCCTTGTGCTGACTGGACTTCAGGGACTGCTAACAAAGAACAACTGCAAAAAAATTTTATGTTTGGGAAATCTGATTTGTAAGATTGTGTGGGATGTTTTTGCTACAATATCTATATACCACTAATCCTGATTATTCCAATTTTTTTGTGTGTGTATGTTATATTTTGCCAATTGTGTATTATTTTAACTTGAATTCTGGACTTTGAACCTCTCATATATTCAACATCCTCTAATTTATCTGTGGCTACATGACTTTAGCATCTATTTAATTGCTAGAAACGGTACCAAGTGGCACTAAATTGCAAATAAACTATTTTTAACATGCTGCAAGAACTCGAGTTTACAAAGTTATT